AGGAAGTGCCGGATGACTGGAGGAGAGCTGAGGTTGTCCTCACCAACAAGAATGGGAAAAAAGATGAACCGGGGAACTGTAGACCAGTCAGTCTAACATCTGTCTCTGGGAAAATACAGGAGCAATTAAAAAAAAATAAAATGAACAGTCTGCAAGCACCTTGAAGAAAATGCAGTGATGAACAGAAGCCAACATGGTTTTCTTAAGAATAAGTCATGCCAAACTAACCTCATCTCACTTTTTGACTGGGCAACCTCCCAAATGGGCAGCAGAAATGCCACGGACATAATGTACCTAGACTTTAGCAAAGCATTAGACAAAATGTCCCATGACATCCTGATAAACAAACTAGCAAAAAGTGGGCTCAACAGAACTATTAGGTGGATCCACAACTAGTTACAAAATCAGTCACAGAGAGTGATTGTCAACAACGGCTTCCAACAATAGCTTCGCAACCTAGAGAGAGGCAATGAGTGAGATGCCACAGGGCTCAGTCCTGGGACCAGTGATCTTCAACAACTTTATTAATGATCTAGATGAGAAAGTCCAGGGAACAATATTAAATTTGCAGACGACACAGAACTGAGTGGAATAGCTAATATCCTGGAAGACAGAAAGAAGATTGAGGGTGACCTAGACAAGCTAGAACAATGGGCAGAAAACAGAATGAAATTCAACAGACAAATGCCAAGTTCCCCATCTTGGGGAAAAAACAAATATATCAATATAAGATGGGAAATACTTGGCTCAACAGCACTGAAAATGAAAAAGACTGTGAAATTGTTATAGACAACAAGGTAAATATGAGCCAGCAAAGCAGTGTAGCTGCAAACAGGGCAAATGCTATTTTAGGATGCATAAACAAAAGCACTACTTCCAGAACAAGAGAGGTACTTGTTTACTCTGCCCCTAGTCAGACTATGTTCAGTTCTGGGCATCCAGGACTTTAAAAGATGCAGAAAAAAGAGAAAGGTTTCATAAGAGGGCAATGTAGATGAACCAGAATCTGGAAAATATGCCCTATGATGAGAGGCTGAGAGAGCCGGGCATGTTTAGCCTTGAGAAGGGAAGACTACATGGGGATCTGCTAGCACTCCACAAGTACCTCCAAAGGCTTTCACAAAGGAGGAGGAAAAAATCTCTTCTCACCCATCCCTGAGTGCAGAACAGAAAACAATGAACTGCAGCATATCACATTCAAGGCAGACATCAGGAAAAACTTCCTCACTATCAGAGCAATACCACAGTGGTACCAGTTGCCGAGATTGGTCATGTGCTCTTGCACACTGGAGACATTCAAGGTGAGACTCAAACTGAATGGGATTATGTGGTTTAGTGTTCTGCACCCAGGAGCGGGTTGGACCCGATGGCCTTCTTGGCCCCTTCCAACCATACTGTTCTATGAATCCTCCTCCCTACCACCTATTTTCTTTTTACTCAGCCCTACTCTGAATCTATGTAATTCAGTCAATGGTTTCTAGAGATTCTTCTAGAATCCTTCCTTCTGCCCCTGCTCCAGCCAACACTGGGGTATCTCAGCCAAAGCAGAATGCCTAAGATAAGAAGAAAGGCAGACATTACAGTACCAAAAATACTAAAGTTCATATGAACCAACAGTATATTGTACTTATATATACATTAATTCATGGACTTTCGGGGCAAAAAAGCTGGGATCTGCCTTCACATTTAGACTCTGCTAATAGTTTGCTGCTACAATTAACATAAGAAATTATTCAGCTAAGGCTGCATCCTATACTTCACTGGTGTAGTTTGGTATTTAGTTGCCACTCCAAGATCCAGAATATGACCCAAGAATGACTCCAAGAATGCTGTCACTTTCAAATGCTCCATGCGTCAATCTCCCTTATATGTTGCAAGGAAATTATATGACAGCCACAACCATTTTTTAAGCTTCAGGAAGCACTGTGACTATGCCCAGAGCATGTTCTTAGCACACATGATGATATAGTCCTACTTCTAGAGCTAATCAAGTTTGGCCTTTAAAATTCCTGGCTACCGTATGTCAACCACTTTGGTGGGAAAGCAATATAGAAGTAAAATATAGAAGTCTCAACATGTCACCGGCCTGACCCATGAACGTGGACACACTCTGGACCTGGTTTTCTCAACGGGGCAGGAAGAGGGTGGTCTGAGGGTGAGGAATTTATGTTTGACACCCCTGTCATGGTCAGATCACTTCCTCGTGAGGTTTGTGCTTGAGAGCGGCCTCTCCCTCTGTAAGGGTGCGGACCCGATTGTGTGGGTCCACCCCCGGAGCCGGATGGATCCAGATGGATTCCTGAAGGCCCTGGGGGAGTTTCCGGCTGACAAGACTGGTGCTCCTGTCGAGGCTCTGGTCGAACTGTGGAACGGGGAGATGACCAGGGCTGTTGACACAATCGTCCTAAGCGTCCTCTCCCGCCAGGCAGAGCCCACTCTTCCCCCTGGTATACACCTGAATTGCGGGCGATGAAGCAGGCCAGGAGATGGCTAGAGTGTAGGTGGAGGAGATCACGGGATGAATCTGACCGAACACACTTGAGAGCCCATTATCAGGCCTATGCTGTGGCGGTGAGGGCGGCGAAAAAGAATTTCTTTTCCGTTTCCATTGCCTCCTCAAAATGCCGTCCGGCGGAGCTTTTTCGAGTGGTGCAAGGCCTGGTTTGTCCAGGTCCTAAGAAAGATCTGGTTCCACCCTCGAAGGCCCGCTGTGACGACTTTGCCAGGCATTTCAGGGAGAAAATCGCTCAGATTCATCACGAGCTAGACTCTACTAGTGCCTGAGAGGTTTCTGGGGAGACATCAATGCTGCCGTCTGGTCCAAAATTAATGGATGAATTTCAGTTATTGTGGCCTGATGATGTGGACAAGGTGCTTGGACGAGTACGTCCCACCACTTGCCTGTTGGACCCTTGCCCATCTTGGTTAATAAATAATTCCAAGCACGGGATTGGGATCTGGATCTTGGAAATGGTTAACGCCTCTCTGAGAGAGGGTCGGGTACCTGCCCCTTTAAAGGACGTGGTAGTCCGACCGGTCCTGAAGAAAGCTTCACTGGATCCAGAGATGGCCACTAATTATAGACCAGTGGCCAACATCCCGTTTCTGGGCAAGGTGTTGGAGCGGGTGGTGGCGGGACAACTCCAAGCTCTCTTGGATGAAACTAATTATCTGGACCCATTTCAGTCTGGCTTCAGACCCGGGTATGGTACTGAATCTGCCTTGGTCGCCCTGTATGATGACCTGTGCAGGGACAAGGACAGGGGGAGTGCGTCCCTGTTGGTTCTTCTGGACCTCTCAGCGGCTTTCAATACCATCGACCATGGTATCCTTCTGGATAGGCTAGTGGGATTGGGGGTCGGAGGCACTGCTTTGCAGTGGTTCCGCTCCTATCTCAACGGCCGATTCCAGAAGGTAGTGCTGGGGGACTATGGCTCTGCACCATGGCAGCTATGCCATGGAGTACCGCAGGGATCCATTTTGTCCCCTTTGCTGTTTAACATCTATATGAAACCGCTGGGAGAGGTCATCAGGAGGTGTGGGCTGCGGAATCATCAGTACGCTGATGATACCGAGCTCTACCTCTCGTTTTCCACCAATCCAGGTGAGGCAGTGGCTGTGCTGAACCGGGGCTTGTCCGAGATAATGGGCTGGATGAGGGCCAATAAATTGAAGCTCAATCCAGACAAGACGGAGGTCCTGTTGGTTGGCAGATCGGGCTTCGGAGAGGGTGAATTGAACCTAGTCCTGAATGGGGTTGCACTCCCTCTTAGGGACAAGGTCCGCAGCTTGGGAGTGCTCCTCGACCCAGAGCTTTCATTGGAAGCTCAGGTGACAGCAGTGGCGAGGAGCGCTTTCCTTCAGCTTCGGCTGATCCATCAGCTGTGCCCCTACCTGGAGTACAACTGCCTGGCGACAGTGACACACGCGTTGGTGACTTCCCACCTTGACTTCTGTAACGCGCTCTACGTGGGGCTACCCTTGAAGACGGTCCGGATACTTCAATTGGTTCAAAATAGAGCTGCCAGGCTGCTGACGGGGACTGGGCGTTATGTTCACATGACTCCAGTCCTCTGTCAGCTTCACTGGCTTCCCATTGAAGTCCGGGCCCAATTCAAGGTGCTGGTGACGACCTATAAAACCCTAAACGGCTTGGGTCCTGGCTACCTGAAGGAGCGCTTACGTCCATATACGCCCGCCCACCCCCTGAGATCTGCGGGAGAGGCCCTTCTCTGGGAACCCTCCATGAAAGAAATTAGGAGGGTAAGTACTCGGAGGAGGGCTTTCTCTGCGGTGGCGCCCAATCTATGGAATGTGCTCCCCAGAGAGGTCCGCCTGGCGCCGTCATTATTTGTTTTTTGGCGCCAGGCAAAGACCTTTTTATTCAAACGTCATTTTAATTGCTAATATTATTTCCTTATTTTATTCTTTGGCCAGGGCGACTTATTTTATATTGTTAATTTGTTTTATATTTTTAATGTATTATATTTTAATTGATGTTTTGTGAGCCGCCCCGAGGCTTCGGCGAATGGGGCGGCATAGAAATTTTCTAAATAAAATAAATCAATAAATAAATAATAAACAGCAGCAGCAGTTAAACCTCAATTGAGCTTGACATGCAACCACAGCAAAGTTGAATCTGTTAAATTATACCAAAGGGATTAAATCTCCAAGGGAAAACAGTTGTGGACATTTTAATGCAATTTAAACTCTATTGTTTCCACAAAAATAAGCCTATGTCATAAAAGGGAAAGCATAAGTAAGTTTGGGGCCAAATCCAGACATTACTTTAAAACTGTGTTTAGCAACTATCTCTCATTTTTACTCTGACCTGGTCTTGAAGGCTTTTTGTCCTCCATGCTAGGGTTCCAATCCAGATTAGGGGCCTTCCACTCGGATCTAGTAACTGCTAGATATGGGATTAAAATATCTATGTTGGCCTGCAAGACCAGGATCTTGAAAGTAAAGGACCAGGATGCTCTATGACAATTACTACTCACTTTGTGGCAAGCAGCATGTTCTTCCTGGAGTGCAGATCAGTGGGGTCTGTGTGCTGTCTGTTCAGGTACTCAGAAACAGCTTTGGCTGGGAACTCAGTTTCACAGATGTATCCAAAATCCCGAGCTAAATGTACAGCTTCTCCTGGGGAAAGATGAGCAGCTTGGATCACCATAGGTCAGCTAGGTTAATGCAATCCAGAATCCACTGGAGCCAAGGTTACTGCTTATTGAGACACATTTATCATTCAGTCCTTAGATTTGTCAGGCCACCATCTAACATCTCAAAATGGGGGATACCAACTGCAGTGCCTAGAGAACATCTCATTAACCATGGCTTCATTTGGTCATTGTAGAAATCCTGCACTCATATCCTGGACAATGCATTGGGATGTTGATCATACAGAAGGAAGCAAAGTTCTAGAACATGAAACCTACTTTGATCCGCAGAGACAGAGCAGCCAAGGTAGCTACATTAGCTCAACTGAAAGGTGGACTGAGAACAGGCTGAACCAGAAAAAAAAAAAACACTGAACACTTTGGACTACAGCTTTTAACTTTTTCTAACAGTTATTCCATCCCATGGGAAGCTTTGGTATTTATGGAGGCTAAAGAGAATTGTCACTAATCCCAGAATACTTTGATCGTAACAATGACAATTTAAATATAAGTTTACAGTGTAATCAGTCATATAGTGAACCCAGATGCGTAGCAGTTAAACTTCTCATGGATGCATTGGCAATACTATGGCAAGAGTTGCTCAGATAAGCTCCATTTATTTCAGACAGACATTTAACTCTTCAGTTCATTTCTGCAGCAGTTAAAGGCTCACCTTTGCCTTGTCTGTACCTCTGGAGTACAATTCAGATAGATCATTTTTCACAAGGAGAAGGTAGCCAGCAGCCCTCCAGCTGTTGGACTCTAATCCCCATTAGCTCCAGCTGCATGGCCAATGGCCAGGGATGATGGGAGTTGGAGTTAAATGTTTGGAGGACTGCCACTTGCCCATCCCTGTGATAAATTATTTATTTATTACAACATTTTTATGCCGCCCCATTCGCCGAAGCCTCGGGGTGGCTTACAACAATACGTCAGTTCATATAAATAAAAATTAAAATATATACATTAAAATAAAATACAACTATACAATATAAAATAAGCCGCCCTGGCCAAATTCAATAATATTCAATAATAAAATTCAATAATATTCAATATTAAAATTCAATAATATTAACATTTAAAGTGCTGCTTAAATTACCCTTTCCCCCAGTCTGTATTTTCCAAATGTGCATGCACAGATTCTGATACTGCCGACACTGTCTCCACCTGCTTCCATTACCTCTCCCTGCAAATCAAGTCCAATAAGACAAGAAGGCACAGATGTGCACCATCATCTTACAAGAACAGCTATTCAGACTCTGAAGTGAGAGGTGATGTTCTCTACACTCTTATGGAAATGCAAGCTCTCTAATGACTTGAAGAGGAAGAAGAGAAATTCATCCAAGGGAAGGAATCGATTTTCCTTTCTGTAGAGGGCCTACTTGTGTTGAATAACACAAGACTCACTTATTGTAAACAACTAGGATGATATTAAAGACATTCAGTTGCTCAGAAATACAATGTAACTTCTTTGGGGAGTTACATTATTTTAACTTCACATTACATAAAATCCTCCCCAGGTGCCATTAATTGTGTCCGCTAAAGCCAGTGGGTGGTTTCCAAACCACGGTCCAACCTTAAAACCATGAGTTTGGAAACCCACCCATGCTGGGTTTGGACAACACAACAAACCTTAGCCCATAGTGGTAAATAATTTGGTGGCATACAACAGGCATGTGTGATAGGTGACTTATCCTCATTCCATGACTATGTCAGCCTGGTCACTGACACGGAGAACATAAACAGTGTGGTAAACCAGGAGCCTCTGATTGCTAGATTTTACCAGCAGAATCACACACCAGGCCTTCAGGTCAACCAAGGCCTTGGCCTCCAAACACAAGGCCCCAGTCCTGAACTGTGTAAAAAGAAACGAACAATATGCAGCCTTTTCCCTCATTGCAAGTGGCTTTGGATGTTCCACCCAACACAAAGCCAAAGGCACCTTGAATGACCACAAGTCCAGTCTACGCATAAGGAATCAGAGAGGGCAGGTGACAGGCTGCTCTTCTCAAGCAGGCTGGAGCCTCCAGCATCTGAGACTCTCCCAAATGGCAACGCAACAGTAGAATATCACATACGCATACACTGGGACATATGGACAGGCCATTTAAACAGTAAGAAGCAAGATTACAGCATTTTGATCTTTCCAGTTATACAAGCTAAATGGCTTTGTATTACCCAGGAGGTAACATCAGTGAAAGTGAACTGAAGTGTGGGTGGCTGAGTTTGCTTATGCACATCTCTTGCAACCTTAGCCTTGCTGCGATATCCTTCTCCTCTCTCTTGCCTGTTACACTTGCCCTTTGCTTCTTCTCCTCAATTGCCTCTTTTAACATGGCCAGATTGCAATCTGAATCCAGGCTGCCTTTTCTCACCTCTGTCATGCTAAGGGCCCGAGAATCAAAGAAACCCACAAGCAGGCTATGACGGCAATAACACCCTCCCATTCACACTTCTTAGCAACTGGCCTACACAGGTATCCTGTGTCCAATGCTGGCAATAAATATATAGCCATCAGGACTGGCAGCCATTAGAAGACTTGACTTAAATGACTTCATGACTTAAAACCATGCAGTTAATGATATATGAGTAAGAAGTAAATCTTACTGAGTATTAATGCACAGGGTAACTTGTGGCCCTTCAGATGTTTTGCCCTGGAATTCCCATTCCGAGCTAGCATAGCCCAGAGTGCGGGATGATGAAGGTTCTTGGTCAAAACATCTGGAAAGATACATACTTCCTATCCCTCCTTTAAATCCTTAAATGGTTTGGTCCCAAGTTACTTGAAGGATCTTCTCCCATACCAACCTGCCCATAATCTAAGGTCTTCAGCAGACCCAGGCCCAACGGTCATGAGTACAAAGGAAAGGACCTTTTCAGTACCTGATATCAACCTTTACCAGAGGCTTGTCAGGCACTTCCTTGAAGATTTTCAGGAAAGCCCGAAAGACCACCTGCTTTCACTGCCCCTCCCGCAGTTCCTGGGCTGCTAGTTCATTGCTAATTCATTTTCATTGAATACTTATTGAATATGTATTTACTAGTTTTTACTATATTTGTTTTGTACTGTTTCAATCTTGCTTTCACCCTGAGAGAGCTCAACCTTTAAATAAATAAACTAATCCCCATAGGCAGCCTTTATCACTGAAAAATAAATGTCACCCTGCCACATCTCCCCCAAATGTAGCATGAAGGCCACAAATCTATGCACACTTGCCCAGGGAGAATAAGTCTCACTGTCATTGGTGTGTGTGTGTGGGGGGGGGGGAGCTACTCTGGAGTAAACAGCCAAGAGAGAGCATGATTTTAATAACATAAAAATATGCTATGTGTAAATGCCCGCCTGTTTTCAGATGTTTCCTCACCAGTGTCAAACTACCGATGCTACCATATACCTTAAACCCAAAGGAGGAAGAAGTGATATAGTGTCTACCAGAAGAACGTTTAAGCTACAAAAATATATGTATACAGTGATTCTATCACATTGACCTGGTTCACATGACAACTCCTGGGTAAGTAGCCATGGGTGAACAATGTATTGTGAAATCCAGCACTTGGCAAAAGTAGTAGAAACCTCAGCCTGGCCTCCATCAGCTGCCCCATAAGTGCCCAAGCAGCACTTGCTGCTTCCATGCTGTGACTGAGAGCTACTTGTTCATCATGAGTATTTCCCTTTTCTCTTCCTCCGCCTGCCCCCCGAGATTAAAAAAGCCAGCTGAGAACTGGCTTTTGTGAGTCCCATTTTGACAGACACTGACAACCCCTTCACAGTCCCCAAGTGGCACCTTGGAGGGGCTTGTCCATGGCTGCAAACCCATTTTGCTCCCTCTAGTATATGCAAATATGTTTGCTCATTTAAATATTTGTGTACATGTGCAAGAATGCAAAGCTTACACACGTGTGGAGATTGGCACTTAAAGAGGTCCCAAAATGGGCAGCCTTACCTGGGCAATGTCAAAGGAGGTACCTGCTGCAAAAGTGACAGGGCTGCCACCCTGGGGACTGTCCCAGGAAGGCTCCAAATATCCCATTGCCCTCTTTAGTTTGGTAGGTGTCCACAGGCATGCTGTCCAGCCAAACCAACAGTGTGAGTGATCTGCATTTGCAGAAAGGGGGACGGGATTGACATGTCCATCACATCAAGGTCCTCCTGAGGGGCTTGCAGGATAGGGAGGAACTCAACTGTCCTAAGGGAGTTCTTAGTTTTCCACTTCTTCAAGAGAATCTAGGTGCTAGGAAACATATCAAAGGGTTAGCCACCCCCTTGTCAAAGAAGCATGGCAATTTTTGGCAGGGGTCCCCATAGTTTTTTTTTTTTTTCAGAGAAACATATGCAGTGAGGCTTCCTTATGTCCTCCTGAAGAAAAACATGTTGCTCCCTGCCAACCCCCACTTTTAAAGGAGCTGGAGTTATAACAGCTACGTGTCAAAAGAGACAGCTCTCTTAAAAAGTGGAGTCCAAAGAACAAAACAAACAACATGGGGATCTTGCCACAAACCATTTCATGAGCACAGACCACCTGTACCACTGGTTTGGCTTGGCAGATCACCTTTTGACTGATGTTAATGAAACCAAATGAGGAAAAAGAGTACTTGGAGCTCCCTGAGACAATGTCCAAGGTTGGTACCAGTGTCACCTTGGCATCAGGTAACGCCCTAGCCATCAGCCCAGGCAAGGTTGTCCATATTTTGGATCTCTGTAAGTGTGTACCTCTGCACTTGTGCACATTTAAAAATATATTTTAAAACTTGCATGCAGATATGTGCCTACCTCCAAGATGTAAAAATGACTTTATGATGGATGTTTAGTTCTCCTTATGAAACCTTCAAAAAAGACAATGGGTTCTTTTGTGAATTCTGAGGATAAATGAAATTATGAGGTGAAAGGGCTGTGGGGACTGGCTATTGTATGTGTGAGAGATAGTGGTGTAGCAGGTACTAATTCCTAGAAGATATGCTAAAATTTAGCTGTTTCAAAGTGACATCATTGGTTTGTGCTGATAAGATGTTTACACACATACTGCCCATTGTAGATAACGCACCTCAGTCCAAAGGAGGATATGTCTGTCTTCCTCAAAAGCTTGCCGTTTTGAACCTGGATTCCCCCGTTTCTTAACACTTAAGTTGCAGTAACTGTTCTCCTTTTCTCTACATGCTACACAATACCATCATTTTCTATTAAATGGCTGTCCTGTAATTAGCACTATCACTAAAAAGGAACATTTGGGAACCAGGAATGGTGTGAGAGCCAAACAGATCACTAAAAGTAGGCACTTGCCAAATCAGGAACCTGGTGCTTAGGTCTTCAAGCACTTCATTACTGAAATAGCCATGCCAGGTTTTTCCAGATAACTTCATGAAAGTCTGCACTGCAATTTACCAGACCCTCTTTTAGACCCCTGCAACCTGTGGGTTTCTGTAATCAAAATGTACTGGCAATTTACCAGTTTCTACTGATTCTATCACCAATGCATTTTCTAAAACTAATCTATTAATACAAGGAACTCCCAATTTTTCTCTTCTGCTTTTACTTAAGTGTCCTGAAAATCTTTATTAGCGTCTAAGGCAGATTCAGGTGTCTGCTGGTTTGTACATTAGCTTCCAGAAGGAAATTCTCAATTGCTTCTTGATCAGAGTATGCATCTGTATAACCCCAATATATTTTCTACAAGGCACAGTTCTTTGAACACTACAGGATGTACTTCCATGTAAAGGTGTAGGATGGGGAAGCTAGCCTGCAAAGTGCTCCCTTCCACCAAAAATGTTCCAGCTTTTAACTTTCTTTAAACAAACAAAACAAAGTATTCTTTAAGCAAACAAATAGAACATATTTCTCCAATCTGGGTGACATCTAATCCCAACATTAATGCACCATGCCCTGCTAGGTCTGAACAAAGATATTGATCTATGATTTTAAAAGAAATGATCAGAATGAATACATGAAACTTACCAGGTGACTTCAATTGTATACAATGTTAACTGAGTCAAATGCATGTTTACTCAAAAGTAGAGACCACCATGGGACACACTGGGTGGGACACTGGGACACACTCTGAAATATAACTGGGAATGTAGCCTTGAACAAACTATCTTAATTATAGAATCTAAATACACCACAGATTCACTTTGGATCTGGCCTTGTGCTTATTCCTCCCCCACCACCTTAGTTTTCTGCATGATGAAACTTTAATGCTACCACAGCAACAATTTCCACGCAATCCAGGAAACGTGGTGAAATGTCAAAACTCTTCCCACCCTTAAGAGTAGCCAGGAGGCTGTGGGGGTGGGAATCAGAATGGACAGAGATTCTGCTTACCTTCTACCAGGGAGGTGAGTAAAGTGACATTTGCTGCTTTGCGCCTGCCCGCTGGTAAATTCAAGCCGATTTTTTCTAGCCTCTCTCGCAACGATCTGCCCCCATTTTTCGATTTGGCTCTGCAACAGCAAAAAAAATGAAAGCACTGATTCAAACCTCAAGAAATGTCCCCAGGAAAGAACTGGGGATGAGGTGCTGGGGCAGACTCAAGACTATTGGAGCTTGAAGAGACTTTAGCATGTGTGCAAAACATTCTGTCTAAATAATGCTGACTGAGGGTATTTGCCTGGTGAAAATGAAAGTGCAGAGAGAGGGGCAACAGGGGAACAAACAATGAAAAGAGTCTGGCAGATCAGCCCAATTTGATCTTGCGCATATTTATCAGAGCACTAGTGCTATTCATGGAACTGGGGGTTCTTCAAGGAAGTACACACAGGACTGCAGCCTTCATTATGTTAGCATTAGCAAGAAGCAAACTGGCCAGCCTTGGGGACCAGCACATGGGACTAGTCAACGGAGAAGACATGATTTCACCAATAAGGGTATGCACACGTGTAAAACAACTGGCAGTTTAATTAGTACTACCAACCAATTAAAGGATGAGTAAAAACACCTACCTTTTGACCGATCTAAATATATTACCATATCACCAAAACCTCAGTCTTGGTTTGTCTTTGAAACACATTTTAACAGAAGCTTTTTCTGCTTATTAGAAAAACAGAGTCAAAATATCCTCAAAATTGCACCAGCCAACCAGCTAACTAAAATTGCCTTCAACTAACGAATGAATGAAAGGTTTAACTAACTAATTAAAATCACAGTTGCTCCGTAACAGTGAAGGAAAATCCCTCATGTAATTTTGAATTTTTATTCTTCCCATCAAAGCAGATACCAGTCATCCATCAGGGTGCAAGTACACACACACATGAGTTAATAATGCATGCTGAGAGTCTAAATTTCAAGTAGCCAAGGTACCTCCATGGCAACAAACTTATCTAAAAATGGCACACTGTCACACACCTTTTCTTTTGCCTGTAAGGTAGTAGTGTGGACAAAAGGCCTCTCCTAAACTTTTGAAGGTGTCTGATTATTCTACAGTACCTTCCACTCTCTCCTCAAAGTGACCCATCAGTCACTGCTGCCCAAAACCTTATCCATACTACATAAAAGCTGTAGCTTAACATGCACAATTAGAGATGCTGAGTCTCCAGCCTGCCTAGAATCCTCAAAGAGATTCAAGACCACTCTCTGTGGATATTCAATAAATAGTTGATGAAAGCATATTATGTGCATGCTGGGCTCAAGGATTAGTTTAACTCAGCTAAAGTGAGGCCACTCTGCTGAAATTAAGCTTAGCCCAGCTAGACCAGACAATATGGGTGGGCAACCTGAGGCCCTCCAGATTTTTTTGGCCTACAACTCCCATCACCCCTAATCAGTACAGCCAAAAGAACAGCTGATGTACTTTGTAGGCCAAAACATCTGGGCAGTCAGAAATCATTCACCCCGGCTTACCTACCCCCTCTATGTTTCTGTAGCGGACAACCAGATGCCTATGGACAGTCCCTGAATAGGACATGCAAGCAACGGTCTTCTCAGTCTTGTTCCTCAGTGAGCGGTGTTCATACTGCCTCTGAACCTGGAGATGGTGCTTTGCCATCATGACCATGGCCCTTGGTAACCTTCTCCTCCATAAGTTTGACCGATGGTTTAAAGCCATCTACACCTCACAGCAGACCATTCTCTAGTTTAACTTTGTGCTGAGTTGAAGCAATGCTTCCTTCCGTCTGTTCTCGTTCTTCCACCATTCATCTTCACTGGATGGCTAGATATTCTCAGATCACAGATGTCTCTCTAGCCGCTTTCTCAATTCCATGCATGATTTTATATTTTAAATACCACCACTCACCTTTTTTTTCTAAACTAACAAAGCTCTAAACAACTGTTTCTCATGGGGGATGTATGCCATTTCCCTTTTGGGCTGCATTTTTCTGCTTCTTTCTAGCTCTACAATATCCTTTCAGAGATGGGGAAGTCAGAATGATACACAGTATGCCAAATGTTTTTGCTCCATAAATTTGTACAAAGGTACTATGATACTTGTATTGGTCATTTTATTTTCACTACATTTCCAAATGATCAGTATTATCACAGGATTAGCCTTTTTACACATGGGTTAATATTTTCATTGAGCTAGTCAATGAAACCTCAAGATCCTTTTCCTGGTCAGTCACTACCAGTTCAGACTCTATCAATTCACAGGTGAAGTTAGTAGCATTGCCCCATTGCACATCACTGTACACTTACATTGACTCACATAATGGTTCATCCCAGTTTGAAGCCATCCTTTCACTATCCTTTAAAAAAAATGCTACCTTGAATATTCCTTTCTGCTCCCATTGGTGGAAAAGCAAAAAAACAATGGTTCCAGTACAGATCCTTGAGAACACCACTGTTTACATCCTTTAATTATAGAACTGTCTGTCCATTCTTACTTGGTTTCCTGTTCTTTGACACAAGAGTGCTCATCTGCATCCTTGTAGCTTATATAACTTACAACAACTAGCAGAAGTTCACCATTTTTGGCCCTTCAGATATATCATCCCATTAATTCTTACAGCAGCTCTCTGGAGTCTAAAATAAGCTAGCACTGTTAACTCAAGAGGATAAGAGAGGGGCTGAGGTTCAGAGAGAATGTTTGCTTAAGTTCACCTAGTCCATTTTGAACCCTGGACTACCAGGCTCACTGATCACATGCATAGCTATTACAGTACACTAATACTGTTGGTATTAGCGGTAACTGTTGCTACGCACTATTCAATAAAATTAATAATGTCATACCCTTCAAATAAAAATTCCAGAACAGTTTACAACAACTAAATACACATAAACAAGAAATTGTTTAAGAAATCTAAGAAAAAGCATATGGTACCACAACTTAAAGGCTTTGATAAACATAAAGGTTTTCATCTGACACTCAAACATAAGAGACCCAATGCCAGACAAACATTCTTAGGGAAAGCATTCCAAAGTAGGGAGCCACAATGGAACAGTTCTTCAAATTGCTGAAAGTCACCAGAGAAGGCATGTAGATGATCTCAACATTCTGGCAGATTCAGTTGGACCCTTAAGGTATTTGAGGCCTAAGAAATATAGTGCTTTAAAAGACACTCTCCAAAACTTGTAAATGTAGTCTGAAACAGACTGCTTGCTAATGCAGATCTGGCAGTGACATTCTGGACCAACTGTAGGTTCAAAGACATTTCTTATACAATTCATTACAGTAGTCCAGGTTTTCCAACCTAGTGCTTTCCAGTATTTTCTAAATCAAGAACTGCTGTCCAACCGGGATGGCCAACAGCCAGAAATCTTGAGAGCTGTAGTCCAAAATACCTAGAGGGCACCAGAATGGGGAAAGTTGCAGCACACTATTCAGAATGGTACCAGTGCATAGGCTATTGTGTCATGTCTAGTCTCCTGTGCATCCTCCCCTATGTATCAACATCAACGGTTACTTACAATGTTTTTGGCACAGATTTTAAATGACCCCTGTAAATCCCACCCAGAAGCACAGATTGGCTTTTTCCAAGGCCTTACCTTCTAAGTACTCCACCAAGGAGTGAGGCATTCAAACATTCTGGGGGTGAGAGGCGCCTTTGAACTTCTCCAACGGTCACTTTGTACTTAGAAGTAGAACTGAGCAAGGACAATCGTCCAGGTACTGAACAAAACACTTCACCTGTGTTCACAGACATGCCACCAAGGAAGCCATCTTTGTTCATCATCAGGGAGGTAACGGACTTTGGAGGAACTGGAACTGGGGAAAAAGAAGAGCATTATGGACAAGATCACATTTAAGGGGCTTGCATCACTCAGCCATAGCCACGTTTGCTCAGAAGTTAGTGCCACTGATTACTTCAGCACTGCCTTTTTTATATGGCTTGCTGTTACAGAATGATATGGGGGTCCTTTCATAGGGCTGATCCCTTTTACAGCTGCCAGGTCATTGCCTGAGTATACAATAGGGACCTGCTGCGGCAGTGAAGTACAAGGGAAATGTGGGGATCCATGATGATACAATTCCTTTCTAGGCCTCTTCCAACAGGATTATTAGCAAACAAGAGTAGCTGCAGGAAGTATCACTCCATCTTACACTATCCAGGGATATTTGGAAGCATATGTCATGTGGAGAGTTAGCTGCAACAGAACTCCTTTCTATGCTAATGCTATTCCAGGAAGAGGTACCTCTATCATAGGAAGGCATCCTCTCAAATGACCTGAACAGCATAAGGCAAAGCTGTAGGGCAAAAGGACTCTGTGTTGTCCCAGCTCCCAGGAGACATGATGCTTGTATAAAAAGGGAACCCACTGTAGACCCTTTCAGAGGAATCCAGGAATTATAAGAAGAAGGCATGTTACAATATGCCCCATTATACTCCTGAAGTAACTTAGAAGGGAAGCCATATGCAATAGGTCAATGAATAGTTACTTCCCATTCCAAGAGGTGTTATTGTACAGGAACAAATCAAATGAAAACAACAATGCTACCAAATCTAACTTGTGAGCCAGTGTGATATAGTGGTTAAAGTGCTGGACTGGGACTCAGGAGATCTGGGTTCTAGGCCCCACTTAGCCATAAAGTTTACTAGGTGACTTCTTAGCTTAATTTACCTCACAGGATTGTTATGAGAATAAAATGGAAAGGAGGAAAACTATAAAAACCACCTTGGATGCATGCAAGAAAAATGGTCATGTAGAAATACAATGCACAAATAAATAAATAAATCTGGCCAGACAAACCACTTTCCATGTGGTTAGAAACCCTTTCGTTTTGTATCTCTGGGCTAATATAATTTAAGGACAGACTAATCTTGTTTTCCAAAATAGATTGCCTATAGCACAAGTTCACAATAGAATAAAAGGGGTACACTATATGTTGAAATATTCCTTGATAAATCACAGAAAAAATTGTTTTGCTACTGTTGAGTCAGACTAAAAAGTTGTATTTCTGAGAACAGAAGTTTCCAATTAATTTTCTCACAAATCTCAAATAGCTTTACAAGACAGAACAATTCAGTAGGTGAAGGGTTTTCTCATTATAGCAGCCATTTTGGTTTTTCCTGTTGTGTGGCAATTAAAAACAAACAAACAAACAAGGCAGCTGGCAGGGAAAAGAAAAGAAAGAAAAGACCTTTACCCATCGCTGAGAACCAGTGCAGGATTGTAAACCTGATGGACCATAGATTACCATGCTGTACTGGCCTCTACCCTACCCTCAGCTATGAACTCATCACATTTGTTCACAAAGAAAATTATGCACCACAACAATACAGATGTGGATGGAGGGTGGGAACGCTACACATCTTAGAACGCAATTTTAAGACAGAAAAAAGTCCTATAACTTTCAGCTTTTCCCAGTCACTTCTAGTTGCTGGAGAATTCTGGAAACTGCACTAAGTTTTCTGTAACCATTTATAGGACTAAAATCTTAGTGACACTTAATGTCTTACATGCTTTCTAGGAAGCAAAAGCTTTAAATCCTCCTTCATACAACTGCAGGAAGTTATACACATAGCTCATTCCAGCCCCAACATCACATGCTTCCCTGACCCCACTCACAGTGTCCACACATTGAGCTTTGCCTGTGCAAGCACCCACATTCAGCAGAGGGACACTGGAATTATACAAAACCAGGAACAAAAGCAACAATGCAGTCCCAGAGACTCTTGGACTATTAACACATGAAGGAGGCAAAATGCATCATGAAACGGTACATTCTTTCTCAACTACGCTCCTTTCTAGAACTTCCATTTTTTAATCTTTACAACATACACTAAACTAAAAGGTTTTGTTGAAATGCATAACCAGAAGTGGTTAAAAAAAAGACAAGCATTTTAATTTTTAAGGTTCTGGACTGTCACTTGTCAATGGGCAATGATTTGAGTGGGTAGGCAACAGCCAAAGTGAGGACTCTGTCTCTGTTGAATAAAAGTACAGAAAGCAAAGTGGGAATCAATGCATGCACATCATTTTGCAGGAAAAGCAACAATGCTGTTGGCTTCCTTACAGAGTGAGCCCGTGGGCTGAAATCCAGTTCACCCATGTCTTAATCTAGCCTTGCTGAGAAGGCACATTTTAGTCACTTGGTTTCTCTGTTAGTGTCTGTTGCTTAGATTGAAAGGATTTGTGCACAGCAGTTGTGCCCCAGTTTTAAGTTCTCATCTTAATTAGCAAACTGCATATGAATTTTGAAGGTGCCCCAAATCTATACAAATCTCTTTTACTACTCTGCTACACTCTCTCCTACTATCCTTTGCCTTAAATTGTTGCATAGAAATTTTATTAGATACTGCTTTTTTTCACTTCTGCAACACGATAGACCATACCAACTGAAGTTATTGCTTTTTGCACAAATATTAGGCCTGAGAACCTTCTTTCTTGTATCTGGTCATTCAACTGCTTCTATAGCTTGCCAGCTGAGGAAAAAATTCTGTATCTTTCCCTGACCCAGTGCCTGGTTTGAGCTTATTCTTAAATAGATCACATCTGTTCTTAAACAGATTGGCCTATGAATCTACTGGTATCACCCCAGCATATCTGCCATGGCAAGTTTCCATTAACCCTAGGAAAGAGCTACAATTAATCCTCAGAAGATTCTAGTGAAGCTGCACCAGTGATTCCAAGCACACTAGTAATTATGTTGTGCCTGAAGGCAGGTGTTGGTTTTAATGCATCACCAAAAAGTAAAAAAGAACATGTAACTAAACTTGTTTCCCTCTCATCATAGCAATGAGAGAGCCACAGTAGGACCTGCTAACCCACAGAGTTAAGAGGACTGGGACACTTGCTTCAGCCCTGTGCAATGAAAGGATTCAGTTATGTTCAATAAAGGTTCAGTTTAACTTGTTTCTGTGGTACTTCTATAAGTGTAGTTCCTATTGAAAAGTTTTAAAATGCTCAGTACACTGCTTTAAGATACTGTGAACTAATGTCATGAGGGAAAATCAGGCAGTTGAGGATAGTTATTCTCACAGTAAATACTAACTGTATTCTCCTCTAGACAGGGATTCTACTTGGTTTATATAACACCAAGTTTCAAGGAGGCATGATGTCCTTGTTATGGGGGACTTCAATTTCCCCAATATCTGCTGAGAGACAAGTTCTGCCAAACACAGCCCCTCCAAGGGATTCCTAACATATGTTGCTGATAACTTCCTCCAACAGAAAGTGGAGGAAGGAACAAGAGGAATGGCTAGCCTTTACTTGATACTAACCAACAGGAAAGGCCTAGTGGACAAAGTGGCAATTATAGGTACCCTGGGAGGAAAGTGACCATGCCACATTTGAATTCTTGATTCTAATGGAAGCAAAAGCCAAATATAGCCAAACATCTATCCTAGACTTTAGGGAAGTCAATTTTAATAAACTCAGAACAAGGATAAGTAAAGTCCCATGGTAAGCAAATCTAATGAGAAAAGGACTCCAATATGGGTGGAAATTTAAAAAGAGGAAATTCTAAAGACTCAATTACAAACAAATCCAACAAGGAAAAGGGGTAGAGGACAAAAGAAGCCCATGTGGCTTTGCAATAGCTTAGAGATGATCTGAAAACAGAAAAGCTTACTTCAGATACATCAATGGAACCAATTAACTAGGGATGCCTCATGGTATCCTGATTAGCAAACTAGCAAAAGGTGGGCTGGATGGACCAACTGTCAGGTGGATCCAGAATTGGTTACAGAATAGGACTAAAAGAGTGCACATCAATGGCAGCTTTTCAAACTGGGAAGAGATAACAAGTGGAATACCACAAGATTCAATCCTGAGCCCAGTGCTCTTCAATATTTTTATTACTGCTTTGGATGATGAAGTACAGGGAATGATTAATCACATCTGCAGATGACACAAAACTGAGTGGGATAGCTAATACCCTGGAAGACTGAAAGAAGATTCAAGATGATCTTTATAGTTTGGAGCACTCAGCTGGAAACAACGGAATGAAATTCAATAGGGACAAATGCCAAGTTCTGGACCTAGGAAAAAAGCAACCAAATGCATCATTACAAGATATGGAATACTTGGCTCAACAATACAAGTGAGAAGGATCTTGGAATTGTTGTAGCTCACAAGCTGAATATGAGTCAACAATGTGATAAGGCTGCAAAAAGGGCAAATGCTCTTTTAGACTGTATTAATGGAAGTGTCTCTTCCAAAACATGTGAAGTACTAGTTCCCCTTTCCTCAGCACTGGCTAGGCCACTTCTGGAGTACGGTTCTAGGCACCACAGTTTAAGAAAGATACAGATAAGCTGGAAAGGTTTAAGAGGAGGATAACAAGAATGACCCAGAGACTGGAAATAAAGTCCTGTGAAGAGAGTCTGAGAGACTTCGAGAAATGATAGCACTCTACAAGTACTTGAATGGCTGTCACAAGGAGAAAGGACAGGACCTCTTCTCGATCATCCCAGAGTGAAGAACCTCCTGAATGTTAGAGCAGTATGACAATGGAACAAATTACTAGGGATGTTGTGGGCTCTCCCACACTTGAGGCATTCAAGATGTAACTTGACAATCATGTAAGAGGGATGGTTTAACTTGGCATCCTGCACTGAGCAGGGGGTTGGACCCAATGACCCCTCTAACCTCTGGCCCCCTCTAACTCCATCATTCTATGATTCTAAGTATACCGATGGCACTATAAATTAAAACATTCTGTTGGTTTCCAATACCATTTCACCAATAGGGAAAGAAAGGAGCTGCTAAATTTGAATGACTTTCTCTTTTTATATGTTTATTAGCTGGATCACTTTTACACTG